ATCCGGGTCTCCCTCAGGGGCAATCAGCATGGACACGAGATGAGGTAAAGCAGCGGCAAAGCACTCAAACTCCTCTTGTCTGTCCTCAAGGACGTCCGTGCCAAGAGCACACTCACCCCCGACGAACGGAGGACAGACAGACTCAGACTCTGCAACAAGGCTAGCGGCGTAGTCTAGACGACAGGCGGCAGCAAAGTCAACAAGCTCAGCGACTAGAGCAGACGCAGCAGAGGACTCAAAGGTAGGGTCAGTGACAGCAGTGGCAAGGAGACGCGCGACAGTAGGACTGGCAGCACGAGTAAGGTCTGACGGCGGGTCAGCAACGTCAGGAAGAGAGGACGCAGGAGGAGACGGCAGAGGGACACGCTGTGGAGCAGTGGAAGGACGCAGGGTCATATAGTGAGTGCCAAGGACAGGAGGAGGACGCTGACGCGGAGCACGACGACCAGCGCGGACAGCGCGGACAGGCGACTCTGGACGCGCCTCAGGCGACTCTGGACTAGACTCAGGCGACGGAGGACGAGACTCAGGCTCACGACGCTCAGTAAGACTACCCGTCGGTGCAGTGTAAGGAGAAGGACCAGGCAGTGGAGAGGCAGGCTGTAACTGTGACTGTGACTGGACAGGCGGTGGACTCAGTAGGGGAGAAGGAGTAGGACCCGGCGGAGAACCACAGGCGGAGAACCCGGCGGCCGCTTCACCCTGAAAATCCACATGCCACTGACGATGTTCGCCCCAGGTGGGGGAACCTCGTCGACGTAGGTGCCTGTGGACTTCCAGGAAGCCATCTCTGCGTCCATGGCTGTCTGCCACTGAGAGGAGTACTCACCCTCCATCGCCTCTGCGTAGGAGCGTAGAGTCGGGATGTTTTGTGCATCCGGGTCTCCCTCAGGGGCAATCAGCATGGACACGAGATGAGGTAAAGCAGCAGCAAAGCACTGAAACTTCTCCTGTCTGTCCTCAAGGACGTCCATGCCAAGAGCACACTCACCCCCGACGGACGGAGGACAGACAGACTCAGACTCAGCGACAAGGCTAGCGGCGTAGTCTAGACGATAGGCGGCAGCAAAGTCAACAAGCTCAGCGACTAGAGCAGACGCAGCAGAGGACTCAAAGGTAGGGTCAGTGACAACAGTGGCAAGGAGACGCGCGACAGTAGGACTGGCAGCACGAGTAAGGTCTGACGGCGGGTCGGCAACGTTAGGAAGAGAGGACACAGGAGGAGACGGCAGAGGGACGCGCTGTGGAGCAGTGGACTGACGCAGGGTCATGTAGTGAGTGCCTAGGACAGGAGGAGGACGCTCACGTGGAGCACGACGACCAGTGCGTGCAGTGCGGACAGGCGACTCTGGACGAGACTCAGAAGACGCAGGACTGGACTCAGGCGACGGAGGACGAGACTCAGGCTCACGACGCTCCGTAAAGCTACCTGTCGACGCAGTGTAAGGAGAGGGACCAGGCAATGGAGAGGTAGGCTGTAACTGTGACTGCGACGGGACAGGTGGTGGACTCAGTAGGGGAGAAGGAGTAGGACCAGGAGAGGGCGGGAGACCAAGAACCTGCTGAAGGAGCGGAACGTAGTACGGCCGCGGCCGCTCAGCAACTCCAGCTCCAACCCCCTCAGCAGCTCCAGTCCCAGCAGCTCCAGTACCTCCAGCACGAGCACCTCCAGGACTAGCAGCTCCAGCAGCTCCAGCACCAGCAGCACCTCCAGCAGCTCCAGCAGTACTGGCACCAGCAGCACCAGTACCAGCAGCACCTCCAGTAGCTCCAGCAGCACGAGCACCAGTAGCACCTCCAGCAGCACCAGCAGCACCGCCAGCAGCAGCAGCACCTCCAGCAGCTCCAGCAGCACCAGCACCAGTAGCACCTCCAGCAGCGCCAGCAGCACCGCCAGCAGCACCAGCACCTCCAGCAGCTGCAGTAGCAGCAGCACCTCCAGCAGCACCAGCACCAGCAACACCTCCAGCAGCTCCAGCAGCACCAGCACCAGTAGCACCTCCAGCAGCGCCAGCAGCACCGCCAGCAGTACCAGCACCTCCTGCAGCTGCAGCAGCAGCAGCACCTCCAGCAGCACCAGCACCAGCAACACCTCCAACAGCTCCAGCAGCAACACCAGCAGCTCCAGCAGCACCAGGACCGGCAGCACCAGCAGCAGTACCGGGGTCCGCGACGCAAGGAGCGCCACTCCGGAGACTGCAGTGCCGAGTGTACCACTCGCGGAGCTGCAGGGGAGAGGGCAGCGCCCGCCTAGTGCGTGATCGTACAGCGAGATATCCTCCTTGGCAGTGAGCTGGAGGAACAGGTGCAAGTCATCGAGCCAGGTCTCAAACTTCAGTGGGCGACCCTCAGCATCGAAAGCTAGAACAGCAGGGCTAGCCATAGTTGCAGTAAGAGCAGTAGTAGCAGGTGAAACCCTAAAAACAGTAGGCAGTGCGACTCAGGTAGGGCGGCTCGGTCCAGAGAGGGCTGCTCAGTACGGGGAGGGCGGCGCGGCTCGGTTCGGGCTGCGCGGCTCGGCTCGGTTCTGGGCGGCTCGGTTCGGGCGGCTCGGTTCGGGCGGCTCGGTTCTGGCGGGGCCGTGGCGGTCTCGCGTGGGGGCGGCTCGGTTCTGACGGGGCCGTAAGGGGCCTCTAAGGGGCGAGCGCGGGGTCGACGGGGCCGCGAAGGGGCGGCGCGCGAGGTCGACGGGGCCGTAAGGGGCCTCTAGGGGGGGGCGCTCGGGGTCGACGGGGCCGTAAGGGGCCGCTAAGGGGTCGACGGGGCCGCTAAGGGGCGAGCGCGAGGTCGACGGGGCCGCTAAGGGGCGGCGCGCGAGGTCGACGGGGCCGTAAGGGGCCGTGAAAGGGCGGCGCGCGGGGTCGACGGGGCCTTGAGGGGCCGCTAAGGGGTCGACGGGGCCGTAAGGGGCCTCTAAGGAGGAGCGCACGAGGGCGCTTAGACAGTGGGGCGCACGAGGGCGCTAGGAGACAGTCAGAGTGGTGGGCCCGTATAACTTTGACACCAGGCGCCTCAGAGGTTCTTAGTGTGGGAGATGCAGCTACCACTAGACTAGTACCAGCCTTTGTCGGTGGCTCGGGTGCGACCTCACCGACTGCACGGCTTTCCTTCACCCTAGACTCAGGAGCGTCCAGCTGTTTCTTTTGCGCCTGCACCGACCTCACGTCACTGCACAGTCCAGTCACTGTCGCCTTGGCTGACCCCTCTGTAGGATCTGTAGTTGCCGAGAGCACCACCACTCTCCCGTGTCCAGCGGCTCAGTCTGGGTTTCTCACAGGTTACTACACCCCCTCGTTCTCTAGGAACCTGGTGGGTGTCAGTCACCTCCACGACCTCGGATTTGTCACTACTTTCCCACTGCACGAGCATGTTGCCTCCTGCACAGTCGGTGCCACTGGGACGCCTCTGGCCACTTTCCACAGGGAGCCGGGCTCTGGTCTGTACTCACTACACACTGGGTCCCACCACACTGGGTCAGGTCAGGTCAGGTCAGGTAGCTGGTGTGTCACTCACCCACCCGTTGGTCCTCTGGCACCACCGTCTCAGTAGGATGGTACGTCACCGTTTGGTCTCAGGTCTCCCAGAGTCGCTTGCCCCGCTTCCTCGCTCGCCTGCGCCGCCGTGCACTCCCTGCGTCGAGGGTCGGCAGCGCGCTGTCCCTCACTCCTCCTCGTTCTTCCCCACCACGGCTCCCTTACAGACCCTGCACTTAGACGTCTGGGGCCCCTCCCCAGTACTTGGCCCACGTTAGGAGCGCTACTTCCTGATTGTGGTGGACGACTACTCCCGCTACACCACGGTTTTCCCCTTGCGACAAAAGGCCGACGTGCCTACCGTCCTTGAGCCGTGGATACTAGCGAGGGGTGGCCTTGTGCCCACTTTGTCTCACTTGCTTACCTCTTGAGCTCGTCTTGTATTTGCTTTGCTTTGTTTCTTGTCTTACCTGGTGTTGTGACCGTTTGTTATTCTTTCTATCCGTCACTTAGCCTATGGGGGTGTGTATATATATATATCAGGGCTCTCGCTATGTTTTGGACCTGTCTGAGAGTATAAATTTTTTTTTTTTTTTTTTCTGACGCCTAGATGACCAACCTTCAGTTGTCTTACAGTAAAGACGAAAAAGTCTACAGAGTCTGATCTAAAGGACGAAAAAAGTTCCCCGGTCTGAACCTAACACAAAGTAATAATATGTTGGATTTTCTACTTAGCCTAACTATGCATTACATCTATCAATATGTTATGAAGTTTGCACATCCTAGATAACTAGCAACCTAGTCAGAGTCACTACCAGCGCTGTCGTCATCATCAATGTCATCCTCGCTTTCCGCAAAAGGGTCTGGAGCCTTTCCCCTATCTTTCCGACTGAGCCAGGGGTATTCTGCATCAAGCCTTGCGGCTTCTGCTGCTAGGGCTGCTTCTCGGGCTGCAGCTTCTGCTGCTGCCAATGCTGCGGCTGCTGCTGCTGCTGAGGCAGATCTTTTCTTCGCGCGCTTGCTTTGTCTCTCCCCGGAAACCATCAGCACATCCTTGGCAGGCCTTCGTTTCTTTGAAGCGTTGAACCTCCTCAGTAAATCGGGCCACTCCATGTCATAGCTGAGAAGCGAGATGGTCATCAGCTCCCCTAGGTTCGCGTCACACAGGTTCCCGCGAAGCCAGCTCTTGATCACATTCTGCCGTGAGAAGCCGCGCTCGCACTCAACCGTGCTGAGCGGAAGAACGGCGACGGCGATCCACAAGTGCACGAGATTCGGGTAGCAGGTCGTCCAGTCGGGAGAAGACAGAATGAGCTTCAGGCTGTCGGCGAAGCCCACATCCTCCTGGTGTGTGGCCATGATCGTAGAGAACGTGATGATCTCCCTCTGCGCTCGCGCCCAGTTGATGCCTGCGGGGTGTGGTTCGCAATGGGAAGTAGGTGCAACAGAAATGAAACATTCAGGTAAAGCATGCTATGCGGTAATCTGGTTAAGCAATCATCACATAGGCTACAAATTTCAAGTATTTTACGCACCTGGTAGGGTGTCGGGGTCTTCAGGCTTCTTCTTAAACATATTGCGCAGCGACTGCATCCAGTGTGCAAGTTTCCGCTCGCGCTTGGCCTGGTTCTTGGGATACGACCCCTGCTTGAACAGCTTCGCCCCGTCGAGGTTGGCGAGGTCCTTGAGGCGGTGATCGAGCCTACCGGTCAAGGTTGCCACGAACGCGCGCGCCAACTCCAAACACGCACCGTGGTCCGCACCGGTCTTCTGCCCTTTGATGGGCTCCTCATGGAGTGTGTAGGTAAGGTCAGTCGAAGTTCCGTCGGACGATGTGCCAGCCAGCTTCACCTCTCGGCATTCCCTGGACGCGTGCTTCTTGAGAAAGGGGCCCAAAGCTTCTCCGCCCTGGCCGAAAGACTCGTCGTCGCCGTCGAGGTAACGATTGCGCAGCAGCAAAGTCGTGTTGTGTACCATCGGCAGCACATGGGTCGCGTCAACCTGAAACGAAGCACAAGAAAGGTCAGTACTTAACGTGGGGTTGAAAAAAACCGATGCTTGTAATGCATAACACACGCTCACCTGGCGACGCTGGAACTTCAAGCTCAGAAGGTTGAGCTCCTTCAGCACATCCGCTAGGAAAAACAGCATGAACTGAAACTTGTAGCTAGTGATGACCTTGTACATCTTCTTCGCGAACTCGTGCAAGACAAACACTGCCGCCGGAAACACTTTCACCAAGCGCTCGAGAGCTTGACCGCGAGACAACCAACGTGTCAGAGGTACACTGGTGATCCCCGATTGATCCTAAAGAAGGGTTACAGGCATGTTGGCTTGGGGGGTTATGGGCGCACTGACCCGCTACTTAACAAGCCCTTTTATCCCAATGGTCTAGTGGTTGGGATTCTGACATGGTATCAGAGCGAAGGTCTCGGGTTCGAATCCCAGTATGTGCACTTCGGGCATCCTAGTGCGGGGGGGTGTCAGAGGTCCACTGGTGATCCCCGATTGATCCTAAAGAAGGGTTACAGGCATGTTGGCTTGGGGGGTTATGGGCGCACTGACCCGCTACTTAACAAGCCCTTTTATCCCAATGGTCTAGTGGTTGGGATTCTGACACAACGGACGTCCTTGATTCCTTGAACTTCAAGGTTGGTCTCGCAGAAGACCTCCTGCAGCTCAATAAAGCGTGAGTGGACGACCGAAGAACGACCGAGGTTCTCAGCAACGGCGCGAACCACCTTGTCCACGACGTTAAAATCCGGGTGTTTGATGGCTGCGTCTTTGGCCGCCAAGGCCTCCTTGCAAAAAAATAGAAAAGTTACATGTAACGATAAATTAGAAATCATGTAGAGAACAAGCCCGCATGAACGCAAAGCACGATAACACTTGCCTGTGCGCGATGCAGTGTGACGATACGATATGTGGAACCTTCTCTTTGAGGCGCGCGGTCACTCCGTTGTGCTGGCCGATCATGACACTAGCTCCATCAGTGCTCATGCCGGAGATTCGCTGGAGATCGATGCCGCTACACTCCAAGTGGGTAAGGAGAACGGTCGTGAGCGAAGCGGCGTCACACTGCTCCACAGTCAGCAATGCGTAGAACTCGGTGACGGGAGCGTTGTCACGCATGAACTTCATGTAGACGATCATGTGTTTTCCCTTTCGTCGGTCGGTGCTCTCGTCCAGCTGGATACCGAGGTAAGGACTGTCGCGGATGAGTTTCAACTGTCGGGATTTCATGTAGCACACCATAGCCTCGACCACTTGTGCGAAGCCGTACCTGAAACAAGTAGGGAATGTTTTCATTAGCAACTATAAGAAAACAAACAACAAAACGTGAAAGACGGGACACTTACTCGCTGTAGTACGTCCCGTTCTCCTTAAGGGGCAGATCCGGAGTCCCCTGCTCAGCCATGAACTGGACGAGTGACACGAAGAGCACAATGGGTGCGTCAGATTTGCAAATGAATAAAACAATCGACATCAAACGAGCAAGGCGCTTGACCTCCTCGTCCCCTTGGTGAAAGTCCACAATGGACCTCTGTCCTTTCTTCGCTCCGTCACGTTGCTCCTTCCGCAGGACCGCCGCCTCATGCTTCAGGCTGTGGTGATGCTTGCGCATCGTCTGCATCTGAATGTCGGTGCCACCAACACCGTAGCGCCCGTACTTGGAGTTGGGGTCGGCGAAAACCATGCAGATGCTGCAGCGCATGCAGGGTCGGCCATCCTTGGTTACGGAGATGAATAGCCAGGGAAAGTATCGCTGCCACTGCTCCTTGCACTTCAGCTGAAGCTCCTCAACCGACAGCTTCTTGCCTTTGGGGTCCTCGATGTCGTTAGCCGCAGGTTCGGGAGCCACGGGTCGTGTCTCCACAGACGGTGCCGGCTGTGTCGGATGCGCGAAGTTCAGAACTCGCTGCTTGTACAGCCCCTTTGACGACCTGTCGGGCAAGACGGGGTTAGCCCTGAGAGAGGATTTGGTAGCGTCAGATACTACACGGACGTTGTTATCGGCACCGCAGGACGGCATGCAAGTAGATACTGACGTAGTAGGTGTAGCGATCGATGGCGCAGAGTTATCGCCATTTTCCGACACTGGCGCATCGTCAATGGGCGAAGGTACCGCATCGGATGTTGAAGCAATTGGTGGGGCAACAGGGGCGATCGGCTTGCCCCACGTTAGGAAGTCTAACGCCGAAACCCCTGGCGCAGGAGCGGTGGGGTCGGCCATAGCCTAAACTAAATGAAAGAAAGAAGCTGTGACGAGGGAAACAGACCATGCTCGGCTGGGTGAGAGGTGAGGAGGACGCGCTCCACAAACAGCCTGTTTAACAAGCCTCGCTCAGCTGCATGAGACCCCCCCGTCATCGTGCAGTGTACATCAAAAGGCAATGCGGGATGGGAGCGGGGGACAGGACAACCACCGTCCTTTTTTACGTAACATGTAGGAAAGGGAAGTGCCGTGGCTATGGCTGGCGTCGGCGCCGACAGCCAGCTACACGACAGTCACCTGGCAGCAAATGCCGCAGGTTCGTGACAGCGAGGCTACTACAAGACACGCACATTGAATGCGCGTGCAGGTACAAGGCAGCAACCATACTTGTACCTGTGGTCCTTTGGTCTACTGGGCGCATATGGCCTAGTGGTCCTATGGCCTAGCGGGCAAATTTGTCGGTTTCAGACGAAACCGAATTCGATATCTGTAAAATCGGACGAAGTATTCTACATGGTCTGGAAAATCATACGAACGTAAAGCCTTTGTCTTGCTCCTCAGATGAGGGAAAACATAATTTCTTAGAAATCAGATGAATAAAAAAAATCACGTCTGGAATTCAGAAATTCAGACCAAATTGGTCTGATAACGAGAGGCATGACATATATATATATGTGTGTTGTTAGGCTATAGTGAGGTTAGCTATAGGGGGTATAATTTTCTAGGTTTTGCTACGGTACCGTATTTGTACTCCCTTCTTACTAGTTCAACATCATTCTGCTGTTTCTAACGTTGACACTCCAAAACCATAAACAGATATGATCCTGACATTCCTTGTAAGAATGTAGTATTTTCGAGTCGCACATACAATCTCGTTTTTGTTACGAATGATGATAAACATTTTCGAACGAATCGTTTTTTTAGCATGTGTGGCTCCTTTTTAGCAGTTGTGATGCCTCAAACTGATATGTTTTTTATGGGAATTTTGTATTAGATAACATTGTCCAAGTTATGCGAATGTCAAATTTAGGAAAGACATGGTTGGGGAGGATCATCAAAGGTAATTGAAAATACTGTACAAGACACTCCCTGGCTCGTTGAATCACATACCGGAATTATCCAACGAGCAATAGCAGGTGGATCTACGTTGCTCGTTGGATTATTCCGGTCGTGGGCACCAATCGTGACCTGTCCTGAACGTGGGATGATGTAAGTTTTTTTCCGCCGAGGGTCCCTGTCTATCCGAAAACGCCTGGCTGTCTTTCTGGTTCTGTTTAGGCAAAAAGACGGGCGGAAAACGGGCGCAAAGCCCCGCCGAATACGACACGGCTCTCCGGGCCGAATTGTTGCGCCCACCTGACCCAAAAATCCAGCTCGGGCAGAGGCCGAACTCGAAATGCAACACCAACTTTGGCGAGGGCAGTTGTAGGCGAAACGCTCGCGAGAACCGAGGTTACCCCCCGGACGGCCGACGACACCCGCTTGTCGCACGACCGGTTGCGATGGGACGGTCGTCAAGTCGTCGCAGAGCTCGTCGCACGCGAACTCTCTACAGAGTGCTTCACGATCAAACATTTGATACTTTTTAAAAGTTCGTATGAAATACGCGGTGTATTTTGACACCAAAAAATGGGTCGACCAATCGGCGAACATGTTCCTCCTCCGACGCAGGAACCAATACCAGACGACCGCATCTCCTGTTAATCAGGAGCCAACCGTCGACCCTGGAATTGGCGGGTGGCCAGGAGATCCAGATCTGAAAACCGGGTGACCTGATTAGTGGATTCAGCTCAAGGTGGGGCTTCAAAGCCTGTTGTCGCCCTCATTCTGATTCTTTTTTTTTCTTGTTCACGTTTTTCATGATGGCCAATGCGTGGTCCTCCAAGTGCTCTTGCATCCGCTTCATCTATTTTTTTCGCTAAGTCCTCAACGCCCCACCCCTAGCACGTATCAGCTCCCACAGCAGCCCTCGTAGAAAGTCTGCATATCGTCGTGGTCCTCGATCTGGTTTTTTGTAGACGATTAGTTTTGGACGCCTCCCTTTTTTTTTGGGCTGCCCGACCGTCCAATTTGTCAATTGTACATTAGAACATTGGTTCTGCATCTCGTCCCGAAATCGAGACAGGCAGCGGTAGAAGCATCCTGATAGCATTTATGCAACACGCTAGATTAGAAGGTTATGCATGTCGTATATGATACGCTTGTCTACCAGTCAGCGATATCTAGACAGCACCGTTAGTTAATCCTCTACGGTAACACTTGTCCGTAGTTCTGATCTGCAAACTGATTTAAACGGATAGAATCGTCTAGTTAGAATCAGATACTCTTCGACGACAGTAAGGTTCAGAGCGACTCTACAGTGTCGCGTTAGTGTATATCTTTACTGATCCATCTATGACGTAGTTTACGTTTGCTTAATCAACGAAACCACTGTTGCGCGACCACGTACATCCAATGTGCTGAAGTTGACCGACCACTGTTCGTTAGTAGCGATACCCTTTTAGGTAGGCTCGTTTTTGCATGCACACTGAAGTTTGGCGAACCCATATGACGTTTAGCTAGTTAGGCGCGGTTTCCTTCTCCGTAGGGCACAATGTCCACAGATGGGACCGATTGGCTCCTAGTTTTTTGGCAACAACTTGGCGGGTGCGACGACAAGGACGACGACGAATTAACGGACGCCGAAGATGACTATGCGCTGGATGCAGCCAACGATCTCATCTACGATTGCGATGTTGAAGACGACTACTACGAAGCTGCAGAGGCTCCCGAGGAAGTTGTAGAAGAGGGTAGCGCGGCTGCTGAAGACGAGGGAGGTCGGGAACCAGTTGCATTGGAAAGGGACGGTGGAGAAGAGAGAGTCCCGGAAGCAGGTGCAGAGGAAGAGGACGATGAAGAGACGGAGTCGGAATATGGCGACCCGATAGAGAACGAAAGAGAACCTCTGGCAGACGAAGGGGATGGTGAAGAG